ATTTATATTCACCATAATTCAACAGTCTGAATAACCTTAAGACGCACTTCAATGGTGAATGGCACGTGGTGTTTCTATGTTTTAAGAGGTAATGTTGTAGCTCAGTGTAGTAGAGGGTCATGCAATCACCGCTAAATGTGCATTTAAATGAAAACCTTTGGCGTCATGGTGCGGAGAGCACAGTCCATTGGGTCGTAGCTACCTGTGAGACCACTTCAGTAGGGGATTAGGGACACTTAAAAAGAATTGTGTCTTGAAAGAGAAATGTTGAAAATCTAAAGGATTAAGAAGTCTTTTACCAAGGGTGTCTAGGAGGAGTTGGTTTGGTTGAGGGAGATGAGAAGAAAATATTCTTTGACAGGCTTGTGTTTGTCGTAATGTATGGGTGTTTTGTGAGCCAAAGAAAATAGCTGGAGGAAAGCTTTAGGATCTGTCACATTTGTAGTGAAAATTGTGACTTGTATCCAGGGAAATTGACAGACTGGATAGCTACTTCAAAACAAGGACGATTTTCAGGATGGTGTATTCCCATGGCATAGACCTATAAGGCTTATGTTTTGGTTATATTAACCAAAGTAAATAGGAATACTGGGAGACTAGATTTGTATTGAATATCTGAGATAAAGATATTGAAGTATTATCGCTTTGAACTGTTTCATCCAAAGGATCACATATAATCTTACACAGAAAATTGCAGGCTTTGAATGGAATGTTTTTTACAGTGGAGTAATATATGATGCTATAGTAACTGCACGTCCTTGGACCAACTGAAAACAAGGCTATAAATTACCTTTGATCTGTTACACTTTGACAGCTATAGTGTATCAGTATCAGTAGTGACATTCCAGTCACACTTGAAACTGGCTTTTATAAAGCAGTGGAAGGTGAAAAACCTGATATATTCCCATTGTGTCTGGTACATTGAACACCCAGCAAAACAGTGGCTGACAGCAAAAAGAGTAGGACCATGCCCGCATTACTTCTCTCCCGTCAGGGATCAGGAAGAACTGATGCTTCTTTACATCTACGAAATAAGGTGCTTCGCCAGATCTATGGAGCTTGTGAAATAACTTTGTTGGCTGATGATGTGGAACCAGTTCGATCATATGGTGGAAGGCCAACTTCCTCCGGGTCTTCTTTAGGAAGGGGTGTGTTTACACCAAGATTTGGAATTGGACCACGGTATGGCACATGTTATGTGATATGAGTATTTTTGTCCTTTAGTTTTTTACATTTTAGTTAATTATCATATTTGTCACTTGTTGCCAGCTTGGATCAGATTTGATGCTTTCATATTAAGTATTTTCAAAGGGGTGGTCAATCACTATCTTGATATCATATTAAGAAAATGAAAATTCTGAAATGAAGCGTGTGTATATGTAGGTATTTTCAGCTGTAAACTTTAGGAACAGGAAGACAGTTTTAAGTTAAAATAACAAAGTTTTTATTAACCAGTATGAGGACATGAAAATGCCTTATCTTCAAGATAAAGTTAATTTTTAAGTGTTAGGGTGATTGGCAATTCAAGCAATTTGCATTTCAGTGACCCCATTCCATGTTAAGCTTTTGTGGCTTTTTTTCAATTCAGAAAGATGTTTTCTTTAAAAATATTTGTGTGCTTTCAAGAAAACTTTTTTGTTTGCTGTTTCTTTAACTCACTAACCCTGTGTAAATGGCTTTTTCAGTGCTTAGTTCCAATAGTTAACCCCCTGACACTATGAACAAAGAACATAACCATAACCAATTAAAGCAGTCCATATATTTTAAAAGAGTAAGTTTGAATTTGGCTACAAGAGGTTTTATGTCGCACGTTGTTGGGAGAAAAAAAAACTTCTCTATTTTTAACAAATTTAAATACAGGTTTCCAGGGCTGTTATTACTTTGGAGCATAAAGCCAGTATCAAGCACAACACATAACAGTCCTTTACATTCTACTACCACATTGAAACATGACATTTGGCCTTCACGATCAGCCAAAGGTCTTTTGGTAAATTTCTATTGATTAGCACAGGCTTTTCTTTTGTCTGACTGAAGCTGTTTACTATGTTATAAATTTGTGTCGTGTCAAAGTACAATTGTACCACCAGGGCTGTTTCCAATAGCTGTACTGATGTCAACAACTTTGCCAGGACTCTGTTGATCTGTAGATCCGATTTCTGATCAGCAATAACCATGTGATTGTGTTTTAATATTGGAATGTGTTTTTTGATTCGTGATGGGTCAACACTGCAGTGTAACGTCACCACTGCAGCAATCTGATTTGACTGCTGGCTTTGGAGGAAAATCTTCTAAGGGCCAACACAAGGCAACTCCACAAATTAAGCTGGAATCCTTGTCACTTGTTAGTTATGATATAAGGTATGGTTAGTACATGTATCTGTTATGGTAATTTTGTTGTTATGCAAAAATTTGGTTCAGTAGTGAAATACATTTGGTGCTTGCACAATATGTACAGTGAACAGGTGTCAGTCAGTGGTAAGTTAGAGATGAAATATGTCTCTTGGTTCTTAGGTTTTGTAGAAGGAATAATATAGTTTTGTATAAGAATTAAGAGTGAGAATAACTAGTTATTAACAATTTCACTTTTTCTTGGAGAAATTTCCATAATGATATAAGATATTAAATTAAATGTTGATAGAATTGGTTATATCAGAATTAGTCTCAGTTCAGAATTAACAAGGCATTGTATTTTGCACTATGCTTGTACATTTAAATCAATACAGTTTGACCTGTATTTGAACATTGTATATTCAAGCAGCATGTTATATAACAACTGGTACTGCATCCCACAATACCCTGCAGTTTTCCAGACAACCACCAGATGGCACTAGGGGTACTAATAGCCCCAACCTGAATGTGCTTTTCAAAGACGTGTGCAATTTGCCTTTGCGCATTCACTATTTGCACAATGTTGTTTCTAAAAACTGTCCCTTTGATATGAAAAATAACCTTCCACACATATTGATCCTACCACGTGTACATAGACCTCTCGTCTTTCATTTAACCCACAATGTCTGCTAAACGCTGCTTTTAAAGAAATTGTATTTACTGTATCCATTGAGGTGTTTACTCAGTGGCAGCACTTGAGCGATAAATAGGGGGACTTACTTGATATGCAGGACACAGCGCGGGTTGTGTGTGCGGAGGGCAGGGTTACTTCAGACATGTTAAGACATCCTATAGCCAATCATCTCGGCAGTGAGGCTCTAATCTTTGCTTTGGTATCTGATTATTTCAAGTATTTACCATAGAGGATTATCTAGGATGCAGAAACCAAAGCATATCAACCAGCAGTGCCCTTGGTTGTTCCCGGTTCGTTTGAAACCACTATGGCCGGGTGTACAGTTAACGATGAGTGTGTAAGTCAACTTGGAGATGAAATGTGTCGTTGTTTGTGTTTTGTGGAGTGAGGAAATGGGCATAGTTAGTAGATGTTAGTCGGTGATGCTCAGGAATGTTTTGAAAATGCCAAAACATATCATACTGCGTTGTCCGTGGTTATTTCAAGTGCGTACCCATGTGCCTCAAAGACGTAGAGAACGGTTCCAAACTTACATGTAAGTCTGCATAGAGGACCTTTTTATTATTTCTTTTTCTAAAAGTTTTTTTTTAATCTGGTAATCAAGGTTTAATATTCCTAAAGATCAGCTTTTAAATCCAATTGATTGATAAGTCAACAAAAACTACTTTGAAGCTGAATATTTTTTGAAAGCAATGGTTCTTTGTACCTGTCAGTTGTGAACTATGTTGTGACAACACACAGCTCTTGGAGATATAAGTCAAATAAAATTTTGACAGAGAATTGGAAAATCACTTATGTATTTCACCTTTGCTACACCTATTATGAAGCACAAGTAACTTTTTATCAAATTATGTAAATGTTACATTATGAAGTAAATAATTCTTCATAAGTTTATTGATCAAAGGAAGATCCTTTTATCATAAATCACACATGTTGCTTGTGGTGCCTTAATCAATGTATCCCGAATTAGCCCGCTGAACCTCATTTTTTCCTTTGTATTGTGCCTACAACCTCCAGTGAATATTTTATAAGACTATCGATTTTAGCACCAAATCTTTAATTTGTTTGACTTTTCTTACTCTCTTCATGGATTAAAACAAGTGTACAATCAGTAGACAGAATGTTTATTAGTTCTTCTAAGATGTGGTGTAGACAAATCCTACCCCCAGATGTAAGGCCAATAGCAGTGAAAGTGAATCTTATTCCTAGTGAAAGGAGACAAAATTCAGCTGAGAACAAACTTATAAAAGTAAACTTCATACAGTCTCCAGTGAAGTCTGCTAGTTGGTAAGGGCTTTCAGAATATTGTCTAAGTCTGTGAGGTGTTTATGTACAGTATAAATCTTCATGTGTGTTGAAATTATTAATGTCGGAAATATCAGCTTGTTTTGTGTACAGAGTGATTTAAGTATGAAAAGGAAATGTCAGTTTTCAAAGGCATTTGTGTTTGAGTTATATATTACTAGGTCAATGTTGGTAGAGATTGGTAGCACTAACAGATAGAGACTAGTATAGGGTGCCTTTTGACAGGCTTGACGTTCGTTACAAAGGCATCCAGTGAACAAGTTCTTTTTTATACGATTACTGTTTTTTAATGAATTTTTCATGACTCTGCTGCACTCCTTGGCCTTTGTTCATTTCCTGTTCCAGCTTGTACAGTATAAGATGATAAGAATTTAACTCATTATATGTCGCTTGAAAAAAAATCCAGTAGAGGCTGGGAAAGTGTCTAGACATCTACTGTCCATGTGGTTACAATTTTTATATCAATAACTAATTCAGAAGCTTTGGCTAGATCCCAAGATATGCATTTGCTCCAACTTCTACCATACATGTGTATGTGAAATCAATTATTTACAGCAGTGGAAAAAAAACTACTTTGATTTTGCCACACTGTATAAATTGATTGTTCAGACATGTTTTTCATGTTCTATTTATAGAGAAAACATATTTTCAACCATTTTTTTTTCTTTTTTGCACTGTAGATAGGAGTTTTAACATGCTTTGAAATATGAAGTGGCTTGTTTGTTCTCTCAATTTTTCATTTCTAGCATTGGTCAACACTCTCTGAAGTAATTCCCACTGAATAGTTACATACTGTAAGTAACATGACAACATTAAATTCTATCATTCTCTTCTTTTCCTTTACAGTTCTACGAGCACCCCTCCAGTACCGTTTTCCTCCACAGATCTGCTTAGCTCATACTCCAAAGATCCCAACCTAAGGCATCATAACCACCACCTCCATCATCACCACCACCATCAGCACCATCATCATCATCTTCCTCCAGATGAACTGCGCAGGAACTCCCAGATTTCAGATCTGGGGGACAGGGACAGGTTACGCTCTAGTCATGATGGAAGGCAGGATGGTCAAGACAGCAGGGAGTTCATGGAAAATAGTAATAGTAGAAGTGGCTCAAGGAAAGGGACTATGTCAGACCGAGGTAAGACATGACTCGTGTTCAACTGTAATTGGTTGAAATGATTGATTTTGCTGGATTCTTGTCTAATTTAGTAAAACCAAAATTGCTTTGTAATAAACCCATATAAAATGTATTATGAATCAACTCAGGCTGTATTTCCACCATTGCATTGGTAGTACTTTATACCACTTAAATTTGCTTCCATTTTGTATTAAGTTTGAATTTTTTTGTAAGTAACTTGTCTAGGATCTAGGCCTGGTTTTGCTTTCATGCTGGCTTCTTTAATTTTGTGGATGCTGAAAAAGTATTTTAATAAGGTCCACCTAGGTGCTGGGAGAAGTAAATATCCCCTTTTGTTTGGGAATTTTGACACCTGAAGCAATTTCTTGTGCAATTCGATATTCATATTAGTGTAGCATTGTTCAAGGTATTTTACATTTTCCTCTATTGAGATAGTCAAATATAGTTTCTATAGCATTTTGTTGTAGTGAGGCAAAGCTTTGGTTGTTTAAAATACCTGTATGCCTTTACAAATTGATCGATATTAGGTGACCTGTGTTCCCTCCTAAGATGTAAAACAGTTTTATTTTATTCTTGTAATAAGAAGTCACTATGAAATGTTTTTGTTGTGTTAACTTTAAAAACCAAATAACAAGTCTCATTTATGTGAGAGCCAGTATGGTGTTATTACTGTGAACCTAGATAAATAAGAGTATCTAACTTTTATGGGAAAAAATATGTACAACATTTGACGAAGCCGAAGATCAATGTGATCTATATGCAACCTATTTAAACTGATAGTAAGTCAATGTTTGCTGTGGTCACAGTCTAAAATGACTTCCATACTTAATGCTTGAAGAGCTTAAAATGTTTGTCATCGACATTGGTATTTAGAATTGCTGCAGGGAATCTATACTGTAGAATAATATTGTGTTCAATCAAGAGTCACTTTGACTACAATTATATCCAAGTCTCACTCAGTGTTCTTTGGTAATAAATTATTATTCTACCTTATTTGTTTAATTCTTTTCTGAAAAAAAATTGTCTTACATAAGAATTAATTTTATGTTACTAACACATTACACAAGTGATTGGCTATGCAAAACAATTCTATGCACCAGTGAAAATAAAAAAAGGAAATGAGTGGTTTTATATTACAGGCTCACCAGAAAAAGATGCAGATGACAGACCACCTTCTATAGCAGGCCCAAGAGATAGAGCTCAATTACCTATAAAACCAAACTACTTTAAACCTAACGGTTTAAGAATGTCTGTGATCAACCCAAGACTCAGTGGATCTAGTATGTACTTTATTTAACTTCATAAAATAATTCAGTGAAATTTACCATAAAAAAAGGATTGGTTCCAAATTTACAGGTACCAGTTCTCAAATTAAAAAAAATGAAAAAGAAGAATAAGTATTTGCATTTAATATGTTTCTGTTAACTTTAGGTCGTGATTCAGAGGATCTGGTAGCAACGGGGACTAACTGGATGCCCCTCCCATCAGAAAAACCCAGAACAACTCGCAGTGGCCAGTCTGTCAACAATGGTATCAGCAATGGCAGCTCTCAGGTTGCTGGACCCTTCCCACCAAAGCGCACAAATAGTCGATCTACAGCAAATCAGGGGTCCTCCACACAATACTCAGGAAGCAACAGAAAATCAAAAGATACAGGTTTGTTATTAGTTACATATGTGTATTGTAAAATTCAGGATAAAGTAGGTACTTGAACTTCAGGCCTACAGTAAAATTGAAAGTGGTGATCAGGTTTTTTATTAGCAATAAAATTGATCCTCTTGTCTGTATCTCTGAAAATTGATAAATTGATGTGGCTTTCAACCAATCATCCAGAGGGGGGGAGGGGGGAGGATATAGATGAGCTAAAATGAGATTTCTTAATGTTAAGTGTACAGACCTGCATATCTGGTTGCTGAGCAATAGTATTAGTATTCTGCTTGCCATGAGCCTTAAGTTTCTTTAAGAAAATTATCATCACTTTCTCCACCTCCATATATTACAGCTTTGAATATGTAAGCCTTTTTGTTTTTACATCACAGGCATATTGACAGAGAGAATCTAATGGAATTCAACCACATGATAAAATGTGTAAGGAAACCTTCTGGAATCTTATGTATTTTTATGTTTTATTTTATTTTTAGAGCCCAAATATCCAGATCCAATGGTTGGTGCTACCACTGCATCCTTTCAGACAAGAATAGCAGAGCTAAATGCTTTGGAAGTAGAGACAATACGATGGGAAAAATCAAGAAAATTCAAGAAGAAACCAAAACAAGACTCATAGCATTTTTTAAGATAAAACGATCTGTTGTTCAGTTTTTTTTTTTTTTTTTAATCAAAGGAGGATTTCTAGTTAAGACCATATTGAAGTTGTTTTAGGATATTTTTACATTCCTATTGCGTTTGATGTTGACCTACACAAATAGACAATCAGTTATCTTTGCAATAGAGCCTTAAAGAATTCTAGTTTTTTTATTGTAATATGATATGGTTGCTAACCTATTCACTAAAGAATTTGTGATAAAATGTTACCTTGCCAAACATGGTGCCAAAGTGAACATGCGATGTTCATAAACTGTTTGACGTCTAGTAACGAGTAAAAAAAATGTATCCATCACAGGGGTTGCTTGGTTTTTAATTCTTTAAGCTCTAGTCTTTATTTTTCAACATTCCACAAGAACTCACCAGTAGATACAACAGATTTGCACTTCATAACTTCATACCTATGACTTTGTTTATAAAGAAAAATTTCATAATGGGCTAGAATAAAGTAAGTTCTTATTTTTAGTGGTAATGTTGCCACTATAGACAATATATGCCTGATGTATATCCGTCCAACCTTTATGTGCCTCTACCAATCTGTTACAAAAAGTATATTTCAAAAGTTAATCTTGATTATTTTTGTTTAACATAAAGATTATTTTGAGGACTTGTACTTGGTGTTTATTTTTGAAAGGTCAAAGAAAAATATTTTTTCATTACAAAAGGCATGTACGAAAGTTTATTGCCACATTGATAGTGGCATTTTCTTCAGTTATCAGTATGTTTACTAGTACATAAATAAAGCCTTTTCTATTTAGAAAACTCACTTTGTTTTGTTTAACATCTGCTTCCCCATGCCCTACATAGATTTGCTGGGGATTTTTCAACTCCCAAAGTTATTGATCAGACCATCACTTGTTGATCATAACCTTATGTGTAATAAGTTTGCTTCTTTGAGCATTCATAACAACTTGATAAAAATGAAATCATAATTAAATCTCATACTGAAGTAATCAACTAGAAATCTCCTCTTGCTGGTATTTTTAGACAAAATACTTAACGTGGCATTTTCTATGATGGCATTCAATGTTGAAATTATCTGTTCCAAATTTTAGATAATTTAAATACATGTAAGTTGGGTTCAAAAGTATTATTATTATTATTATTATTGGCATGAAACGTTATCCATTTTTTATTTCATTTATTCATCTATTTATTTGACAAAGCTTCATTTTTTAGTCTTGTGTTACAATAAGATATGTACTACAACTTCAGAAATTGCCTTATTGGTCTTTCAGATATTACCATGCAGAATCCCATCAGTTTGATAGATTGCGTTAGTTGAGACTGTGATGCAAAGCTTCCATTGAGAGTCTGCGCTAATCAGATCTAATCAGAAAAAAACAGTTTTTGGTTCTGTCCGAAACTGGGTCTTATAAAAAATAAGTTTTCATGCACTACTTTGAATTGTTTTGTCGAATCACGAATGTCGGTGATACACGGAAGGCGAAATATTTGGTTTAAAATTAAGTTAGTATTGAGGTTTCCTTTTTACGGCATAAAGGTTACTATCAGGGTGTATGCTGGTCAAAATACCGAAAATAATCTTATCTTCATCTCATAATTCAATAATGCATCTGCCTTTTTGCTGAAAAAAAAAAACAATATAAATCCCCTCGAAATAAAAGATATCGACGTTTATATTTCTCGCTGCTAATCATAAGCACCTAGGAGAGATTATCGTCAAGTTAACAGATCTAGAGTTTTTTTTTTTTTTTTTTTTTTTTTTGGTTTGGAGGTGAGATAGCATTGGGGCGTACCTGTACATGTAACTTCATCCCTGAACAAGATCTCATTACGAAAATTGGCATAGGTGATGACGTGCGACCACACGGGCCTCAATCCCGTGCCGTCATTTTGATACAAATTCTGAATAGCTGTAGAGCTTAAAAATCTAATAAATTGAATTAAACGTTATTGCCATGGAGTTGTGAACCTCTAATTTTGACGTAAGGTTTTTAAGAAAAATCACTGGCAGAATTTTGAAGTTGTCATACTCAATAGTGTCATTAAATTGACGTTGAATCGGTGTTCGTGGGTGTCAGGTATAAAGGTGAAATTTGAATAATTGATTTTTCAATTAATACCCCAAATTCACTACCCTCTACCAAGGCCGCAGTTATCATTGTGGACAGTTTTTGACATCAGACCAAAATGACTATTTATCTAGAGACATATCTGTGAATACCAGTGGAAAATCAATTTGTCGCCCTGGTACAAATTCACTATCATGAAATCATCGGTAGAATAATATTTGTGTAAATGCAAGAAAATTTAGTCAGTGAACACTGAAGATTATCTGTTATTATTAATCCAAAACATGTACGTTAAGACAGTAATTAAAGGGGGTTTTGTCTAAACCTGTCCGTAACCTTAACTTGTTACGATCTGAACATTTTCACTTCATAAGAAATAAAGCTTCGGCCTTCAAAATCGAGACTGCCGGGGTATTTCTTCATACCAACAACACCGAAGAAATTACAAACGTGCTTAAAAACAGGCTGAATAGATGAGAAAATATCGTGTTTGGGAACAGGAAAAAGTGTAAAATACAAGATAACAATTAGTTTTGGTGGAGTAATTTTAGCGCCAAGCTCTTTATGTACACAGATGTTTAAAATAATGGGAAAGTAAAAAAAATAATAATTATCCGATGGATACAGTGATCGTATTGACGTCTTGAATTTTTCATCAATGTTTGTATCAATACGAATGTGCTTTTAAGTTTTAAAAAACTACTTAAATTAACATTTATAACATACAACGAATTATTAAAACAGACTCAAGTTGTTACGTTTGTGTTCGAAATTACAATAACTTGGTTAAGATTTACTCAATTTTACTCTTAAAATCGTCTCTCGAGACTAAATATAACACTCTAAAATCAACTTTTTCTTTTTTTATCATAAAATACAAAAAAAAAGGCAAAACACGAGATTTGGACTTTTCTTTATACACCAATGCAATGCTTCATATTCTTCACCCATTGACCTCGTAACGCTGTACTTCATACTGAAAAAAAAACAAAACAAGAATTTGCGCTATTAGAATACAAAAAGGTTAACTCGCCGTTCCCGAGGACGAAATTATGTACATTTGACACATGGAATCGAAAAATCATGAGCTAGTTATGACGGTTTAAACACACTTGAAAGTGTAGTTTTAATTTTCATTTTTGCTTTCTTTAAATCGGTAGCCCATTTGAAAAATTAAGATTGATGTTTAAAAGACATGAATGAACAAAATTTTTCGCCAACAGCATAGACTATAATGCGGATTAAACATATATAAATGATAAAGGTAAGTTTAGTAGTGGCGCATTAAATGAGGGAAATCACGACTAGAGGGGGCAAAAAGAACCACCTTGCTATGTTTCATATTATTTTTTCCCATAATTCGAATGATATCCACGAAAATGTTGTATCAAACGGTTCTACATGTAATTTGTCACTGGACAGGGGTACCTAATGAAATACACTCTGCTAACTTTTCTTTTCAAAGCCAGGCTTCACTGTCACATTCCACACATATGAATGCGCATGCGTCGCCCTCACCTGGATCGATAAACTATTTACACATACTGCATATGTATGACAAAAGTACCGAGCGCGTTCCTTGGGTCCACCATCTTGGAATAAGACGAGTCACCTGTGCGTAGAGGGGGACACGCAAAACTTTGGACCCTTTTCTCCAGCGATTGTTATCGAAATCGGTCGGATCGTATAACCGGTAGAGGTTTTGCGACGGTCATTTTTTGTCTTCCTTAAAGAAGCGATTTTAAGGGTTTGCGACATTGCTAAGGTGACAATCACACACCTGGAAAGTGATACAGCATGACCTATTTAAGGAGTCTGGTTACGGTTGCCATTTTAGCAACATTATACAAAGGTGAGTCAGATTTTTTGTCTTCATTTTAGCTATATTTCAGTTACAAATATGGACGGAAAATATTGATCGCTTTGCTGATGCTGAAACCCAAACGAGGAGTCGGTTAATTTCAACCTTGGATGGGGTGTGACGTCACAGAATGGCGGCCCAATTTTACACCTGTTTGTTTAAAATGAACTCTTTGGGTATCAAAAATTATTCAAATGCTATATCTAGGGTAGACACTGCAAGTAAACCCAGGTTTCAGATCAACAGAATTACCATATATGGAGAATGATTTGTTCTTATCCCGATATTAGGGTCATTTCAATGACAAACTTTGCGATTGCGAAATACCCATGCAGGATCTAGGCATGCTAATCGACCAAGCTAGGTTTCTCAATTTTTTGCATGTTTCTAATCGCAGGTTTAACTTTAAAAATATCACACCCACTCCATCTTTTTTATATTAGCTGTCAGAGAAAAATAAATTCTGCACTAAAACGGATAAATTAAACCAATGAGGCCTTGACGGTAATAACAGCATCGGGGTGTGCTTACTTTTAAAATGATGCAGCGTCAGACCGTCGTAGAAGGCTTATATGTGGGAAATGTGCCCTGTTATCAGGCTCATATCCAGAGAGAACTACGTTTTTGTCAATTGTGAAGACGTGTAGATCGGTGGAAAAACTCACTTGTTATTGCTGGGTACTTAAACAAGTCAATATACCGATAATTAATCCAAGTTGATCATATGAACCACATTGATCAAATGTCCAACGATCTTGCCGGTCATGGTTTTTATGTTACAGGTCCTATCTGTTTGCATTATTTGTTTTTCCGACTTAAAATGATATGTTAGGCCCTATCATGCTGTGTTTTACATCACTTTTGCATGTTTTAAATACATCATATTTATTTATTTAAAAAGAGTGAAAATGAAAAAAAATGCATAAAACCACAACCCTTAAATCTTCGAATTTTTCTGAGATATCTCTTTCTTAAAAGATTTGCTCTACCGATATTTTAAATTAGACAATACATGCAATTCTTGTATAAAGGCATTGCAGAAATCCTTTCCTTTCACATACGAAATATAAACCAATGTAACACAAAACTGTGTCTTGTTATACTTGTGTGTGACATTTCAACATATTTTATCGATATTATTACTTGAATCTTTTTTTTAATTCGATCTTTTTCGTAGTCACCTATGCAGTGGATTGCTACGAGTGCAACGTCTACCAAGGCGGTAATGGCTACCAGTGCCCCGAAGACTTCAGGGAGAGGGCAATTATCCAACGTCGCCAGGGAGGCGCCGTAGAAGACATCACCGAGGACACCCCAATCGATCGCTGGCTGGGCGAGGTTCCCATCAAGAGAGGGTGCGAGGCGTGCATGAAGTTCTACACCAAGGTGGAACAAAATCATAGGAAATACGAATTCACAAGTAAGTGGCATGGATTTGGGTTGATATTTTCGTTCTTTTGAATATAGAAACATGATATCAATCGTGAAGACAGTAAACTATCGGTGCCCTTGGCGTTATGTAATAAGTGAATGGGTTAAATGTCCCGTCAGCTATCTGACAGACAATAAGATAGTGTACGGTTTTGTATAATTGCATATAATATCTTGCCGCCATATAGAGGGAAAAGTAAAACAAAAATGATAAACAGATACACAAAACAAATTACGAAAAAAAAACGATAAAAGGCTTCACAGTCACGAAATAAGAATGATTTATACCTTATTTTTCATTTTTCTTTCAACAATTTTTACGTGTCTTTCCGTTTATTTCAGCTGCTACTGTCGTCTCCCGTGTCTGTGCCGGCAAGGAAATCCATCTGACCAAATACGATCTTAACAGCTGTAAGAAAATGGATGCCATTGGAGGTGTTAGCGTTAGATGTTTCTGCCAGACCGATAAATGCAACGGTGCCACTAAACTCGGAATCACGTTCTCTTTAGTTTTGTCCTTATCTTTGTTTGTTTTTAAGAGGTTGTTCTTATAACACAGTTTTGTTAATTGTTTTCTTGTAACTGTGTAATAGGCACTTCTAGTAGTTCTCTAACATAAACAACATTTTGCATTGTGCGCTATGCCAAAAGAGACATTGTATTGTCGTGGAAAATTGTATACGTTATGTGACGTCTGATATTAACTGTAGCAAATTATACTTCGATAAAAAAGTTTTAAGAAAGGTAAACCGAAATAGCGTTTGAAAGCTGAATTTATGATTTTTCATATTGTTCTCACGGTCACACTTGTAATTCTTCGAGCAGACTGTTAAGCGTTTTTGTATCTGCTATACATGTTTATTTCTCCTAAGTGATTATTGTGATTTATGAAACTACTTTATTATTTTTTTTATTTTAAAGAGAAAAAATGAATGATGTGGTCTTATTTAGCGTAGATTTAGTGTGAGAATACCATGATACAGTGGACGTTTTTTAAACTTCCAAGCCGCAACAGAAGCCAATATCTTCGATTGTAAATAATCTATGGTTATATGGTTGTTAAACTGTTTGCATGTACTTCAAATTGTAGAGGCACTATGCAAATACGTATATAGATTTATTAGATATATTGTAGACAACGTACGTGTCGTATTATTGCACCCGTCGTTGAACTTAGTCCCAGTAAACATTATTAATCGCTCGCGAACGTGTAGCATCACCCATCAATATATGAATGAAGATACTCAATACAGCAATAACATAGGACGTCTCTTTATGAGATCACATTTTAATAAATGTAGGCATTAATGAGATTTTCATTTGGTGCGCCCTTAAAACAACTAGCACATTTCCATCAGTGGCGCCAGTCGTTCTTGTAGAATTCCTTACAACTTTGTTTGAGCCATTTTCATAAGTTATAAGTGGGGAGGTGCGTCACTTTTTGCAGTTGGAAAATATATAATTCCAATCATTCCAAACAATTTCCATCTTCAGTAGTGGGTCTTTTTTCCGTATTCGTATCACCCGATGTCTAGATATGTTGACGCCAAGTTGCATTTAAGTCGGTTTATACTGCCATTGGTTGTATGTAATTGTCCTGCTTAAAAGACGTCAAATTTCATGTATAATTAGAAAATCTTTTTGACATTCATTGTGGATATTGAATTACTGACTTTGTACACGACTTAAATAAAGATTGTAAATACATATAGACTTACCTTATCTCTCTTTTCGCGTTGGCTATCAAAGTCGTTGTGATAACACCAAGGCTGCTGGAACAAGGTGAACAGTTTATTGATACATTGATTTGGTTAAGATTGTAAAATATGGATGATACAGAAAATGTCAAAACTTTAAACATTTTCCAGAGTTTTTACTCTCTAAACGAATTGAAAAAACGGGAGGAATATTTTGCCGATTTTTTTTTTAATCGGACGAGAATTTAAACTGAATATCAGGTTTAACGTTATGTTTCAAATATGTAAAGTGGATAAGATATCCAAACCATCGAAGTATAATATTACACAGGAAAATGGTATACGACCCTGTTAGGAAAGGGAAAAACATATACACAGTGGGTCCAATATTTATCCTAATCTTATGAAAACGTTCAAAAGAGATTACTTTTTATCTGATTAATAATAAGGGCATTTCTCTAAGGTAACAAATATTCTGAAAATAAAGATGTTATGTAATGGCTATTTTAATCAAATCAATTCATTTTTCGTATTATTTGTTGAATAAGCACCTATAACTTAATTTTGGTGAAAAAGATTGGTGGAAAGATATATCTTCAAAATTTTAAAAAGATATAACTCGGCCTCGCATTTTTTATTTTTCCAAAATAAATCACCTTGAAACATGCGCTTTTGTGAAAGAAATACGTAAACCTACTTGAGCTTGTCGATTTTAACCAGCACACACTGAACTTCGGCGTCATTTTCAGTGACGGATTTAAGGGGGGGGTCAGGCGGTCCTGACTGCCCCCCCCCCCCCCCCCCCCCCCCTTGAATTTAGAATTTTGGCTAGCTTAATCATATTTAGTTCTAAACTGTACCAAATGGCATATCGTTCGCCCTCTAAAATACCAAACATTTTCCGAACCCTTCAGCGGGCCCAGAACCACACGCCAAGGGGAGGGAGAGAGTTGGCTTCGCATCCGCGGACCCCCCCCCCTCCCCCTTTAAATAATCCCTGGTTCGCCCCTGACTTTGACTCGTACTGTGCACGCAACTTTCTCGCCGACCGAGGTCACCTTTTGTACGTACGTGTATGCCTACATGGAGCAAAAACCATATGATACTTGTTACCAGATGTCACTAGTGCAGCTAGCTGAAGCTGATTGATACGGAGCCAAGCAAGCACTTCAGAGATGGAGATACCTGTTCGGGCTTTGGGCCTGTTTGCAGTATTTGGAGCTCTTTTAACGTTTTGCAGTCGAGGTAAGTGATCCACCGCAATGTGCAATTAAAAAATTTACCAGTAATTGAGTTATAAAGTATTACATTGTATTTAAAAAAACATAACAATTACTAACAATGCTGCGTTATTTTCTCATAGTTCACCGCAAGCCAATTTTAGGTTCAAAGTCGGCGCTACGAGGCAGCGATTTCGTGCGTCAGTTGCTTAATTGATGTAGCCTGTCCAAATGTTGCTTCACACCTGGGATTTGTATAGGTGTTCTACCGGTTTTCAATCATGGCCTCTTAAGAAACTTAGTAGTTACTAGTACTCCCAGCACTGACAATATAATAGTAAGACCGATAAGTGAGACACATGGTTTTGTCCAAATTTGCTGCAGTAAAACAAAAATATGATAAATAACTTTGTTTGCTACACAAAAGTTATATACAGTACAATTTTAATGTGTAAATTGTGTATAAATGAATACAGCACATATCTTTTCATTGCTCTCTGCCATCCCCAATAATAATTTAAAAAAACATGTATAGGGATCCTGGCATCAATAAAAGTATATATATATATATATATATATATATATATATATATATATATATATATATATATATATATATATATATATATAATTTCTTATGAAGCACAAATAAAAGATGATGTTTCACACAGCTAGTGTAGTTTATGGCAAGTGCCACACAATATTAATACAGCTATGCTTAAACCCTAAATAGATTTTGAAATGGAAAATGTACTGTAACAGATAATTGGATAGGATAGGAGAGCATCACAAGGTTGCCAGCATATAGAGAAAATTAATAATTAGATTTGAAGTTGATCAATTTTTGGTCTCTAAATATAAATTATGATCTTTACGAGAAGAAAAATCATTAAAAATTGGCCATGAATAAGTTTTTTTTAGTTGACTATATATTAGCCAAAACAAAGAAAAATGGCAGGATGGTAGAAATAGTTGTGATAACTCACTCTCTCTCTCTCTCTCTCTCCTTCTCTCTCTCTCTCTCTCTCTCTCTCTCTCTGTTTGTGTGTGTGTGTATGTGTTTGTGTGTGTGAATGCAAAAGCAAGTGCTAGAAACTTGCAACCCTAGGAAACCAGTAATTGATTACTATGGGCAAGGGTCATTGTTTAAGGTCAAAAGGAAAATGCCAGAAAGAAACATAACTGTCTTTAAAACAATTACAGTTTCCAGGAAAATATCTTCACATTTATATTACACTGCATGATCTAATCTCATCAAATCAATCTTCACCCAATCACAAATGAATATATTGATTTTCACTATTAAATTTCACATGCTGCATATTGTATTATTTTCATTTGAAGCCCACATTGCATTTATAATTGTTTTCAGTTTCTTTTCTCTCAAAGGGTGCTTTCCCAGAGATTTAGATCGATCTAAGGATTAAGTTTTAGATCGAACTAACTCCCTGGGGGTTCAGGCTAAATTGCAGTCAGCCGAGTGGACACCATAGTTAATTACCACCTTACGGCTTTTAGTAGGCGGGACAGACGCTTAAGCCGGCCAAGCTGACGGTAATCTAGTGAGACTCCCCACAGGGATAGATCGATCTAAAAATCTATGGAAATGGGGTGATAGAAAACCTCTGAACATAGCATCTTCTTTTCTATGCCAGCTTATTTAAGGCATCAGACTTGATAATCAGTCATTGGTTACCAATCCTTATGTTATGATTGATTGGCTGGGCATTGGGTTGAATCACTTAATTGGATTGACTGAACCAGCAGGACAAGAAGGAAGGCAGACTAAAACTAAATCACTTGATATGTACATAGTATGCACAGTTAAACTGTTCTACCCCATGTATCTATCCATCATCCATAAATTATAAATCCCCCACAGATATCTTTTGTTAATTCATCCCTCATACTACTGATTGATGGACTTGTCAGTCTGAATAATAGGATTTTGCTTTTTGTGACCTCCATCAATACAAATGATGCCAAGATGATGTGGTTTGTTAAAACACATGAGGATTTTATCGTTGTGAAACTGTACTTTAATAGTGGGGAAAAAGCAGAATAAAGACAAAATGTATTTTCTGTCTATGCACACAGATGAACGTGTGTTAGTATACTCAAAAGCATATGTGTGTTTATGTTCACTTGACAGGAATATGCATGCTGTATGTTTGACTGTGCATTTTGAAGTATGAAACATACCTGGAGATGTTATCACAGTGACCTTGGTGATATGTGCTTTATTCAGTTGTAGGGTTGGTTTTCAGTGAAATGCTGATACATGTACTTACTCTAGGCAAGGAGTTATAAATCCTTGCTCTAGGTATGTATGTTAAATAGTACACTACCACCCCCTCTTGATATATGTCTGGGACACCTCTTGCTGATGTTCTGTGTGTTCTGGCATATATCACTCAGGTGTTATATATTATCTCACATGTATGTGCATTTGTGTATGATTAATTATAAACTTTTCCTCAATCCAGGCTCCCTCCTTTTACAGGTTATTAGTTGCATTTTCTTTGATTTAAATGTCAGGTTCGGTAGCAAGTGTATGTGGAGCACTGCACATGGGAGTGGATGGCAATCAATATTTGATAGTTACTGTTCAAAATTGAAGTGGCTTTTTCATTGTCAGTGTCCCTTGGGTGTATGGGTAGTGTATTGCAGGCCATGGGTCTTGTTATGTTTTCATGGTTATGTGAAACAGCTGATTCTCTGTGATATTTAACTCTTACATTGGATGAACCAGTAAAATTATATATTGATGTGAAAATAATTGGTCCCTTGGAGTTTCATAGGGTCCTTTGGAGTTTCACTTAATTATCTTTTGTTGTTTTATTAGACCTAAACTGGTAATTGCTTATTTCCCATTTTGTAATCTTCTGTAGATTTGTGGAGTTAATTTCACTCATTGTGTTAACTTGTATTGATTCCATGCAGGCTAGCTGAGCTGGTGTCAGGATGATTATTATGACTTGGTTGAAATTAAAGATGTCTTCCAACTGTGGTCACTTAGGCCCCATTCAGAATGGATGATCCGAGTGCTTACTGAACCGCTGACTAAATATGGCTGACCACAGTTCAAAAGTGATGCCGCTGATTCCTAATGGTCTCCCTGCCTCCACATGGGCCGTCGCTGCAGGGGCTTAGCAATTAACCCTCGGAGCAGAGATTTAATCTGTAAAAAGGAGCGTGTAGAGTCGGAGAGATCATCAGGAATTACATGTAGCAGCAGAGCTTTTGAACTTTCGGTGGCCATATTTAGTCAGCGGATCAGTAAGTACTTGGATCATCCATTCTGAAAGGGGCCTATAGAAATGTCCAACTGATATCACATCACTGTGTTAGTAGGTGATCAGAACACATCTGTTAGTCACCCAATTCAAGATTGCATTGTGGCTGGAAAAATAAAAATTGAGACTACTTTCAGCAAAATCGAGCAAAAATGGATGATTTTTAAAACCCCTTGCCTATTTTCCTTTGGTATTTTGACACATTGATATATTATGGGGCATTCTATGATAGTCATTTTGCATTACAGATAGAATTTTGACTCTTAAAGTTGTATTTTACAAAAAACTATAATGAATACATAGGTCAAATTTGGCATGAATATTGATTACTGCTTGTCTAAACTTGTAACTTAAAAACTTCAAAAACAGTTATTAGTTTTTGAGAAATATTGATCACCATTGCTATATTTAAAAGTCCGTGTTCAGTAAATGTAGATCTGTGTGATTGTCTGGTGACCTCATTAAGAATTTTCCAGTTTAAATTGGTTCTGTTCTTAACGCAACCATAATTTTCTTTTTCTCCTGGGATTACTAGTTGTTGCAAAAGCATTATTGTGATAAACTGGGAAAAGCATTATTTGATTCAAATAACTTCTTTGGCAATCATATTGTGATGATAAAATATTACGAAAGGATGGTATTAGGAATCATTTGAAAAAGCCCAAATTCTTGTGACCTAGGTCTAGAGCTTAGCCTAGCAAGAATTCATTTAAAATATCCTTGAAAATTTAGCAGCTAAGTGTAATGTCTTATTTCCACTTCTTACTGCTCAAAATATAATCCATCTATTTATGCCAAGTATAAACTAGATAGTCCTGAGAAAAATAGCCATTATTTTTTAAATGGTCCACATATTTAAAAAAAACCTTCATTATAGGACATTAGGCCATCTTCAAGTAATCAGCCTCTGTTCACAATTGTGTGACTGCAGAAAAGAATCTATAAAAAATAAAAATTAAGAAAATTAAGTATCCAGCTCAGACAGTAGATTGGTGCATTTTTTAACGAAGAAATTTCAACTTTTTTGCTCTTGGTCCCAGGTGAAGCTCGATTACTCCAGTGTTATGACTGTACCAGTGAGGACCATCTGGGCTGTAAAGACCCTTTCAATGCCACAGACTCGCTGCAGGTGTGTGACAGACAGCACGACGCGTGCCTTAAAGTTGTGGCCACAAACACCAAAATTGGAAATGATGGAACCAGACATGAAGGTGTGTGAAGAATTACTTGTCACAAGATTTTAGTTTTATTTTTGTGCAATAATATATTTATTGCCAAATTTCATATTGTTAAATGCAGTGCTAGAAATTGAATTCAGCAATTATTTTGCATGTTCACTTTATAGCAATCATAAGTTAGTTCATTGAATGGCCTTAATTTTTTTATTGAAGTCTCAACAATTTTATGTATGATGTCTAATTCTAAATTTTACATTGAAATCTCTTTTCTCCAAGGAAAACAATTTTTTGCAAAAATAGCTATTTCATCAAAACAGCTACCATGTTATGGTACGATTATAAACAGCATGACAGAGTGACAAGTAATTAATGTCTTTGTTTCCAGATGCTCGTGTAATAACTCGCCAGTGTGCCAGCATTCCCACTGGTGGATTTGCCAAACAGAACGATTGTTACAAGACGGAGGCATCCAATGGTGGGTATGTGGAACAGTGCTTTTGCGGTAGTGACGAATGCAATGGCACGAGGGAAAATAAATACTCCTTAGGCATGCTGCTTGTCTGTGTGGTTGTGGCGGCCATGCTACTGAGTAGGAGGTTTTAGTGGACCTCTGTTGACCGTCACACCAGAACCTCTGCTGATGTTGCAGTGCTTCTCAGAGTGCAGAGATAGAAAAGGTACCAACACTAAGATAGTCCTCACACCAGCACACATACTTGGACAGGTGGTTAGCTGAAAAATGTATTAGTGAAATCAACTGTTGGTGCCAAATTCATAATGAATTGTTAAATATAGATATTTTTCGGTGATTTTTACAATACTTTTGGCAAATCATGTTATTTTTGCATTTGGTGTTTTGTTTATAGTGTGCATGTGCAAATAGATTTTTAGTTTGAAAATTGAAATTGTTCTATAGCATACCAGAAATTTCTTTCAGTACATTCATTTGTTATTTGATATGTTATATATTTATGTAAAACGTATTCGCTTCAGCATGGGGATTTTTGCAATAAACATATAAACCAGTTTTAGTTTTTAACTAAAATTAATTTGTGGGACATTAGTAATACCCAACCATCATTCCTGCTGTACATTTAGTGCCATGATATTTACAGTATATAGCTGTAACTTGCCATAATTCTTAGGCTTCCAGATTTAAAGCCATATGCATTTATTGTGTTATGAAAAATATGATTTTAATATAGGTGCTTTGGGCTACCTTATAATTGTGCCATATTTCCTTGGCAGCACTTGCTGACAATTCAGGATATATCCATGAATCTTGTTTTTTACAGACAGACCAAGTTTCAATCTTGTCACTATTTTGATGCTTTACTTAGATGATAAGATAGCCATGTATCATTACAGGTACATTTACAGTAGATACAATGGAACAGACAGTAGTTATATTGAATATTGATAAAAATTAAAGAGTACAATGTTTCAACAATACTTCTTAAAAGACTTATAAGCATTGCTGTTGTTATTGATGTGATTAAAAATAAGTATTTAATAGTTTACACATATTTAGGACTATAAGAGACATAAGGTGGGTAACTACAATTCCAAAATGAGTAGATAATATATTATATGGAAATTTCCTCAGAAGATTTCTCTTCCGATGATAATTTGAAAGCTGTAGTAGGTAAATTTGGGATGTTTTGTCATTGATTGACATTGATATGACATGAGAATGCTACTTTAAAGATGAAAAAAATTAGTTCAACCTAGACAAAATACCTGTATGTTCATGTATAAATGCAAGACTCCGAGATAAAGATGACATAAGGTATTGGGAAAAAATCAATATCTGCTTTGATAGAGTATTTTGTGCCAGTAATTTGCCCTGTATACCTTTAAACCCAGATGTTATTCGAAGAAATCCACAATATCATAACGAGAAAATTACTCTCAGCAGCTTGCGTCTGTTTCCTGGTATTCAATCTTTGAAACAAGCCATTGGTAATGATTGTAAATTCCAATCAGAAAGATTGCTCAGACACTTGGAATGGCAATGAAAGGGCTGTCTTCTCTGGTTCTTGTCTCTAGAGCTTCCAAAGCAATACATGTCGGTTATGTTGAAAACTGTTGGGTGACTGTATAATCTCTATGCAGATCATCTTCTTCCTGACACATAACAATTGAGTCAGTTGCCGAGATCACTGCTTCTCTGTTGGTGCTCACACTGGGAGCTTTCTTCATTTGAATGAAGAATCTAGTCGGTTTTATGGGAAGCTTTTCAATCCGAGTCGCAATTGGCTCTGTACTTATTAAGTCGGTTATCTGCATTGTTTTCATGACATTTGGTTTACTTCACAAATGGTAGTCAGTCAATTTCCTGGTTTTCAACCAGTTGTTTATTACCATTTCTATGATGGTTGGCATTTTTTTTTTTTTTTTTTTAATTTCAAGGCAGTATCGAATCAGTTTGTGGGCCAGGTGGCATGCAGTCCACTAATAGCACCTACTAGTTCCCTCTAGCAGTTTGCTAACAAAACATTGGCCATCAGATTCCAAGATGCTTCTCAGCCCAGGGTTCTCTAACATTTTTTCATTCAGTACATATGTGATCCAGTTGGCTCACATTAATGTTCATGTTTTAGGTTTTCCTCTGATAGCTTACATAAGAATGATCTGACTACTTGTATTCTTTGAATAGTATCCTGAGCACCAAATTGTACCAGCCTTATACCAGCATATCATGTATATCAAATGTTGAACAATGTTCTGCATCAAGTAAATGGAAACAGGATGTTGTAAGCTGACTGAGATGGTTTGATTATCAGAATGGTTCTTCATAAAAGTTTTACCTGCATCAGTTGAGTATTGATTGGTTAATTGGAGAGTTTGTCATTTAAACTACATGCAAAAGCAACTTAATAATTAATTTCCAGCAAACTTTTATCTTATTTATTTATTTATTTATAATTTATCACGTAAACGAATCAGACTGCAAACTTAATATCACAGACACATTGCATCTGCATCATTTGATGAATGTTTTCTTGGATGTTTCAAAATAACCAACATTGTAGGATAGTTTCCTTTCTATGCCAGTTAGACGTTTTAATATTTATATATATATGTATGTTTGCAGAGGTCAACTCTAGAAGATTAGGAGTTGCATTTTCAAACTCTGCTAGATTTATTATGATGATGTCAAGAAATATTGTTGGTCCCATTGAAAAGTGCAAATTCATTTTTGCCATGTAAGAATGATTACAGGTAGTTCCCATTTTTCAAATGGTGCTAATTAGAACAAATTTAAAGAATGATATTGGCCATGATGGTATTTTTCTGATTATCACACAGGTAATAATTTCAAGGTATTTTATGATATCAACATATGTTTATGATTAGGAAGGAAGGTAATTAATGCTTAAAGTCTTGTTTAAGTTACCTTATTAGAAAAATGCTAAATATTTCGTACTGAGTGTATAGTGATTTTATTGGTATTTCATTTCACTGCCATAGCATACAGGCACAAAGGCAGTGTCATGCCACAAACTTGGTCAGATTTAGAACATGCACAATCAAGTCTTCCTTTCAAAAAATGTTTTTTTTTTTTTTTTTTTTTTTTTTGAATATCACTCTCTACTCATTTATTTGCTGTCCTGATGCATAGATTCAGTGTTTTAAACTGTATGCAGCGTCACATTTTGTAATGGGGCAATATTTCTTCCAGCATTTCTTGTTTGCCTATTTCTGTTCTTATTCTCCTAGTCATAGAATTTCTCACTGTACTGTCCAGAGCACAGTGAGAATAAAGCCATTATTGATTTTCCTGAAGTATGGAATAGAACTGTTGTTGGACTTTGTTATATTTACTAACTCATTCACTATGTATATAAAAATTAGCATTTACATAGCCTTTATTTACTTATAGGTTATTATTAGTTGTTATAATTAATTATTTTAAAAGCACATTGCTTTATGTAACCTGATGTGGACAATTTTTACCCAAGCAATTGCTTGTGGCAAACTTGTGTATGTCATATGTGAAAGTATTTTAATATTTTTGACGTCTAATTCACATTAACTCTTACATTATTGCAATATTTACCTTATAATATATTTCTGATGGGCTTATTGTAATTATTTAAAAGATATTTTCCTCTGTCTCACTTTGATTCACCTACTGTGATGTAATTAAGATTCCAGTTAAATAAACCAATTGCGTTTACCCAAGAATACCGTGTATCTAAATTTCCTTTTTAACTTGATTTAACTGTAAAATAATGCTGATCTTCCTACTGCAATATTATACAATATTGCATGCACATGTTTTTATATTTTCTCTGAATACAGATTACAGAGTTAATAGCATATCACGTCTTTTGGGATTTTGTTTTACAAGACTGGCCCAGCTGGGAAGAGTAATTACTGCACAGTCATGGTAAATTGTACATTTCATATTGCTAAACATGTAACATACATTTTTATGTACAGACACAGCTGCACAGTCGAATTTGCAGTTTAACATAATGTACTTTTGCATCAGAATTGACAGTAGCCTATTTTGTTATTTCCTGCTTTTTGTCTGTACATTTGACAGCTTTGCTGCCTTGTTATTTATGTGTTTTAAGTAGCTACCATTCAGCTATAGTTACATCCAAGTTATAGGCAGTTCATGTGCCATATTTATTCTTGAAGTGGTATCCCATTTTTCAGGAGTGGAGAATGCTCCATAAGAGAGACAAAAGTCAACATATACCTTAAAAATTTACTCCTTTTATTTTTCTTTCCTTTGTTTAAAGAAAAGGAATTAGAAACAAATCTAATAAAACAGAAAAGATTTCCCTGAACTATATAAACTATAAATGCTTCTATGTACAGATCATAATAATTATTATAGTCAATGTCCAATGTTTTTAACTAAAAGCTCTTATGTAGTAAGGCTATCCTTTAATCTAATGTATAAACATGAAAACTTGCATAATTTAAAGGATAACTCTGGAGTAAGCCATTTTATCAATGTCAAGTCATCACGTGAAACACTAAAAAAAGCAGAATTGGTCCCATATATTTCATATTAAATGTCATAAAGTTCACAAAAAGTACAATGGGTCACTGCAGAGCTATCATGCTGTCGTGCCCTCCATTTGGAGACTTCCAAGATTATTGCTATTTACATTTTAAAAACTTTACAAAGCACATTTAAAGCATATAGGTACATGCTTGAAGAGCACATGGGACTTGAGTGCCTCTTAATATTTACATGTACAGACTGGGTACTTCTAAAGAGCTGCATTCTCTTTACACAGATTAACACTGTTGAACAAAAGCAGGTTTGCTTGGTCTTGAATATACAAAATGTTTATATGTACACATATGCTGAACCCATGCATATGCAAAAGCCCCAAAAGGCTGTAATTTTATACATGTTCACACAAGTAAAGATGCATTACATTTGTGTAAATATACCTGTAATATATCCAAGGTCCTTTTTACTCTGAACAGAGTGCATATCTACTCCTACAGTTCATCTTAAAAAAGATCAAATTTGACACAGTTCATTGTGCTAATAGTTTTATCCTGGCATAACAAAAAGTTAAATTCAGTGAGAATCATGTTAGTTTGGAATGTGTTAATTTGTTTCAAATTTGGACATATCTTGGAATGCCAGCTGCACAGTTGAAATGCAGTATTACATGGTTGCCATCTTCAGTTTGAAGTATCAAACACATCAAGAAAATGTGCTAGGTGTTACATCCAACAGAAAGGCATCACCGTTTAAAGGCAGAATAAAAAATCTGGACTTTCTTCAGTATATAAAATAGAATGGTTAAATCAAACTTGCCTAGATAAAATAAAAAACTTCTTTTTATTATAAAACAATTTTGCTAAAAAAACTTGTAATAAAAACAGCTGACATTTTTTTTTATGGAATGACAAAGTGATCTGGCTGGTTCGTCTTTTTGATAAATCAAGCCCAGAAAACAACTCATTTATACAAAGGAAACCAAACAATATTCATGCTTCAGTGAAGCAACCGTAACAGGCAGGCTACAGATAAAAACAATGGCACCAATAATGTCAATTTTGAAACTGCCAGATTTCCGGCATGGTTACAACCATTCCAGTCGTCACAAAAACAGTATGTACGCTGGGAGTCTTGCGTTTGTGATCCGGGATACACGGCGGAGCTAGCGGAGCCGCGCCCAGGAAGGCAGTAGTTATGTCTCCTATTGGTTGGCATGTCTTCCCGGTATATGGTGTTTTTCATCAGCTGGTTTAAGCAGCCTCTGGTGATTTGTTCTTGGCCTAAAAAAATTAAAAGGAATAAAACAAATATATAAGTGAGAATTTAAGGTTTGTTACAACACCTAAAACAACCAGTGTTTCGTGCAAAATCAAGTGTAATACATTCACTGCCTTACACAGGGAAATCATCAGGAAATCAAGACTTGGTGTATTGTGCCTTGAAAAAAAAACCATTACAGTTACACTCTGTACATTTACAACACAGATTAGCAAAATTTAAGCACGACTCCACATTTCACAAAAGATTATATAATCAATAATAAATTGTTGCTTCAAGCACACAAAAGCCTGACAAGTACTGTACACAAGACAGTATATATATGTGTGCATGTGCAAAGGATATGATCATAAATGACAACATGTAAAATTGAAAACCATGCAAATGGTACAATTAGTACATTGGACATATATCATTCAGGATCTCAGCACACTGCAGGGAGTCCACACTGAAAATGCAGGTTGCAAATGGTTTTTTTTTTCTTTTTGTGGGGAGGGGGGGGGGTGTGTGTTTTGGCCAACTCCCCATGGGCAGTACCTTGTACCTACCCCTGATATTGTCATAGATCTTAACACACATTGTATCGGCCCCGCATTCCCACCACTTCTGGAGATAGATGTCCAGCTTGTCATCACAACCTGGGGTGGTACTTTGACAAGAATAACAGTAGCGGACTGCGGCTTCGGCTAGAAGTAAAACAAATTAATGTGGAGATTAAGCGCTAGCCAGCTACGGGTAAACTCACCGTTGACTACTTGGTAAACTTTCACACACATTGTCTGTTCTCCGCATTCGACCCATCGCTGGACCCACTCGCTGAGAACATTCCCGCACCCTGGCTGGTTTGATGTACATGAATAACAGTATGATGGGGGTATGGCATCTGCTGCTAAAAAAAGCAAAACATTGGCTGCTAGGCTACTGCACTGAAATCTGGGTTAGCAATCAAGATTGTATGTTATATACTCTACTTCACTGAAGTGCCACAACACCAACTCAAAATGCTTGACAGAGTTCTAAAAGAGGTGCAACATGCAAAATTGTGAGATGACTAAGAAGTCTTTTTTTTATACAAGATTGCTTGACACAAGTAATAAAATTGTAATACAAATTCTTGCAAAAGGCATGCAAAAACATTCAATATTATTTTTTCAGATTCTTATCAAAGCATTTGGTTAGAAATATTGTAATCAAATACTGAACCTTGTTAAAATAGTAATTGTTTTCTAGTTAAGCCAAAGATCAGTAAAAAAAAGCTTTTCATATATTATATTTGTGAGCCCAAAACATGGAGACTGTACAGTATTCTGGTATATTTCAAGCAAGCTTGAACTAATTCATAATACCTAGTTGATTTAATTATGCAGCAAAGAGAAATTGTGTACATTATATTTATTTTGTGAAAAAAAAAGGTGCATTCTCATAAAAAAGAATTATATGAAAGTGTTAGCTGAGAGCTAAATGTGCAAAAGGGGGCCGTAGCAATAGTCGGAAGGTTTAATAGTCCGAAGGTTCATTGGTCCAAATATTCACTATAGAACCTTTGAACCAATGAACCCTTGATTAAAAAATCGATGAAAATGTTACCACTTTTCGGACCAATGAACCTTCGGACTATCGAGACGCCCCCGAGCTAAAAATGTGTTAAATGTTATTCAGCCATCGACATAAAATCCTTCCACTGCAACCATGCCGTATCAGTTAGTAAACGATCTACTGAAAACAGTTCAAAATGGTAAAATTTTGTTTGCAAATATATTTATATAAATAAAGCAATTATTAATGCTGTAAAAATCGAAATTAGTGAGTTAATAAATAATATCAAACGTATTTCAAAATAATGAAGAAAAAATGATAAATAATCATAAATGAGAGCAAGTATGCTGAACACGTACATATATAAGAGAAATTCTTTAAGATACAAAGCAATTATTACGCAGTTTAAAATAGTGGGAGGTCATATACACAAAAGTTACTCGCCCACTCAAAAAACAATTAATTAAGGTCACAAAAGCGGAATCCCTTTACCATTATTTAGTCATACGATAAATATACACAGCGGTAGTTGCATTTAGTGGCATATAACTTGAGTAATAAAATAACGTGAACGTTCTTAAACGTTCAAGCTTGAGTTTCATAAACAACCGATTTTCAAGATGGCGGCAATTTAACGATCATTCCTAACAGGTGAGACATTTTGAACACAGGTAAGTCATTTTGAAAAACCCTGTTAAATAAAGAATTTTAAATGCACCAAAACTTACCTTGAAATATATACAAAATAAAAACTAGTATTACGGATGCAGAAAAAGACTCCATCTTTCCTTATTCTGCAAAAAACTACTCAAATTCTTAACAGGGTCATAAGACAGGTATGTGTGTCATCTCGTTCAAGGTAAAAGTAGGTCATGACTCATGCATATTTAAGTACTGGTTTGTTCTCCGTGTAGCGGACACGAGTTTTAAAAGTCAGGAATGTGAGTCGCGTAAACTGCACGACAGTAGAGTATTAGTACGAATCATGCTAGCAGTACTAAGTATTCTCTCATATTATCCAGCAAATGATTGTTATTGATATATGTAAATAACAGACTGTGGGGTAATCTCTGTTATGGTGGTATATTTCCAGTTATATACAGTATGCATTATCTATATAAATGAATTGATGAAATATAAGCCTAATAAAAATATATATACAGTGAAAAATGAAAATGTAGTATTCGTAGGCCTATATGGTCGTAAATGTTTACATTTCATCCTTAAAAATCCTTGAAATTCCATTCAATTGTGTTGCACTAGGCTGCATCAATAAATATATCGGTTTTTTTTCCTGTAGCCTATATATTAGGCCTATTTTAATACGGTTTCGAAATTAATAAAAAAATTTGACATTCAAAAATCAACAGAAGATTTTCTGACAAAAAAAAAAAAAAAAAAACAACAACAACAACAAAGGAATCTTGGCGACATGACGTGATGCAATAATTAAAATTTCATTATGTTGTTGAGACGTTTTTAAAACACCATGGAAACGTCGCATGCGCAGAAAACAATTAAACAGAGATACCGAGTTGCGATGGCGCGACACTCAAGCTGTCAGTGACTAGTGTTTATTTAGTTTAGTTTGCGTATACTTATATATAAAATGTCGTGTTTTGAACCTCTTACAAATCGGTTCACAAATGCTCTCAGGATTGCAAGAGGGCGTGTTGGCAATGCATATCAATATGTGCGACAACGTCTTAGAAGAAGGCGCCCCCGTGTTGGTGTAGATCCACAAGGAACAGTAAGTAAAACCGCTCTTCTTTGAAATATGTGAAAATAGGATGTTTTTGATAATGGAAGTGAGTTCTGTCTTTGGTTCCTCTTTCAGGTCAACTTTTTCATTCCGTTCCTTCCATTTGTTCTGCTTTTAATGTTTGCAGAATTGTTTTTGTTTAGGATTGTGTAAGAAGCCTATACGTTGCACATGTGCACGTACACACACTTCCTCTAGTGTTAATTTGTATATACTCTGATTCTATGTTTGAATACACAACTTAAGATTGAAATAGTAATTGGTTCAGTTGGTAAACTCAAATACATTCTTTGCCCCTTAATTCAATAGTCTGCATGATTTGACTTGCCTAAAATGATATACTATCTGAGCTCCATCTCCCGATCATATTGTGATGGCGAAATAAAATAAACATTTAACAAATTTTATTGTACAAATCAAGCTCTGAATAAAGTCTGTCAATCGAGATCAAGCTTATAAAATATCAAAATTTGTATGATACGTGTACAACGTTACATAATAATTCTGCATTCAGCCACCTCCAGTCCGCCCCCAGCAAGGCCGACTGTCAAAATTCAAGGACGAGTTGTCCAACAAGAGGACACTTAAAAAAGCTGGACTGCAGACTGTGGGAAAACCACAGGAAGGAGCATCTGGGACAGCGTGGGAGCTTGTAGATAAAGATGCCAGGCCAAAAACAGCCATGCCAAAAAGGTAAAAAAAAAAAAAAAGAGTATTCTGACATCATTTTCGCTCTCTCGCTCTCTTTGCGTGCTTGATTTTTTTTTTTTTTATGGTCTGTCATTTTTATTTTTAATCTGTACTTTTCTTCAAATAATTTCATCCCATTCCCTTTTTCCTTTTCTTTAATTTCAGACTAGGTAGACCACCCTCTGCAATAAAGAAAGGTGCAGAGGAATTTAAAAGAAGGGAGGAAGCTGCCATCGAACGCCGCAGAGAAGCAATGCTTCAACAGGCCGCTGCAATAAGAAGAAAACTTGGCAAAGCTGCTGATGTAATTAGTTTTTTATCTCATGAACTAAAATTCACTCATTTAGGTAATTTTAGTAAATGCAGATTTAAATGAAGAGACGCGTTGAAGCACTTAACACACTTAACTAAACAGAGGTAAATGAGAGACATTAAATTAAAATGTATTTTGTATTTTTGTAATGAACAATTAAATTGCAGATAGAACAGAAAACAAGCTGTCTTATTTCCTTATCTAAGGTCCCTCGTGTGAAAGCGGTGCGCATCGCAACCAGGCAAGAAGCTGCCTTAGAGGCGTACAACAAGAAACATGAGAATGCCGCTAGGCGGCACCAGGAGCTCTCTGATAAAAACAAGGAGGCTCTGGCTAAAAAGGACATGAAAAGACAACAGGTAAACAACCCAACGTGTTTATTCCCATTTTTAAATGCCCTTTGGCGTTTTATACCATTTAAAACCTGCAACCTAAAGGTGTTTAAAATGCTATATGTATGGACAGAAATAATTAGAGGTGCAGACGAGAAGCCAAGAGAGTTTTATGTAGAGATTTTGAAAAACGTGAATACAACTCTATACTAGAAAGGATCTTTAACACTCTCATAATGAGAAGTCATAAAAGGAACTTTGATAAATGCGGCATCATTTTTCGCAGATCCTTCAAAGAAAGTCGGACAGGGAAAATGCAGCTGCCAAAACAGTTTCGTCTTCTTCTTCTGATGATGATGATGATGATGATGACGGACCACTTGGCGCATCAGCCATTCTAAAACCTGCCTTTGTCCCATTTCAAGGCGAGCAATACAGCTCTGACGAGGATGAAGCCGTTCCTTCTCCAGCCTCCCACCTGGGGCGTGGCACCTTGCCATACCAGGGTGCATTGGCCGTGCCTCCCCCAAGGAGAAATCTTCCAGCACGTCTGCCCCGTCTTGAATATCCTAGTTATTCTAGTGCCGCAGCTCCACTAACAAGTGTGGTCACTAGCAGCCAGAATGGTGGTATTGATTACCCCTGGAGTCTGAGCGACCTCCTGCAAACCGGCCAACCAGAAGCACGCATTATTCACGTGCGCCAGAGCTCCAACTGTGCGGATGCTAAACCAGATGACAACACCCATGGTAAGAATCTTGCGACAGAAAACAAATAATTTTTTATTGTAGAGTTTCAATTACACTGAAATTGTAAGCGCGTGGAGAATGAAACTAAATCGTGTTATTGGTGAATCCCGACCGTTAATTAACCTCTTTTTCTATGAATTAACAGCGTCCGCTGACAGTGCCCCTGGGAGAGATGGGAGCTTCACCATGCCACGCCCCTAAAGTCGCTGCCGTGAGAGGGCGCAGCGGTATCTGGGATGAACAACCACCTACTGATTAAGACCTACAGTGATTAATTACCCCAGAGAAAGCGCATGGGCACATGTAAAAACATTTGGACAATTTTAAAGTCGCTGTACACAGTATTTCCATTGATATAATTCATTGTTAAATTTAAGTTTAATTCTATTTATTTATTTTTTTATCTAGGGTTTGACAATTGCTATTTGCTATATTTAAGGGGTATTTTTTTTTTCGTTTTTATTATTTTTATTGGGTTGTGGGGTGGCAGAACGAAATTTGCAGAATTGGAAACGATCCCCTGGCACACCGTAAGAAGTTGTAAGATCGTGAGTCCCTGGCGTGGATGAAATATGCCCGTAAACTCACCAACTGCACATCTGAGCCTGCCACATCAAAATTTTTAAGGGAATGTTGTTTTTTTTTCGTAATAAGCACCAGATTTGTTTCAATCAAAGAACATTTTTTCTAATTGTTATATATATATATATATATATATATATATATATATATATATATATATATATATATATATATAAAGTTATTGATCAGTGTCCTCTTGTATTTAGATGTTTATTGATTACATGAATTAATTATTGAACTAATTACTGGAATAAATTTTTAAAAATTTTGAACAAGATGCTGTTTTCTTCAACTGTCTTTGCCATGTTTGAATTGCTTAAAGTATTTTCTATTGGCAATTTATGGAATTTGACAATTAAAGATTAAACGTGAGAAAATTGCTTTTTTGAAGGAAAAATTTGGTTCGGTTGGGAAATCCCGGGTAGGATACTTCCAAGTGCAAATCTTAAACTAATCTTATCTCATATGCAAGCCTTTTACAAAGAAGCCTTTACTCTTATCTTATTCATCATTATAATAACATGGCTCATGCCTCGCAAAGAGAATATTCGGAAATAACTAGAGCATGTGAATAATTACTTAGTCCTTTACACAGATCTTATTGTAATCCGGCGTTTAGTATGAAAAGTGAACTGAATGTGCTACGAGGCAGAACGCGTCAGCATCATTTCGCCTACTCTGGTGCTAACACTGGTACTGGTTAGCTCAAAAAGTACACAGAATGAACACACAATGGGAAACATAAAATAGGCTGGCTAACGCATGACTTTCCATGTAAAATGCGGGTCAGTGACGGAAATTGAAATGAACTTATATGGCGCTGTTCCTCAGAGGAAATTGATATTTTATCCATGCTCTCCTAGCTTACAAATAACACTTTACCTGTAGGTAAAAAAATGAATCTCCTCTTTAAAAACGGAAGAGTCAAATGGATGAAATGTGTGTTTTATTTCGTAGCTGTTTCTCTCATCGTATTCATGATTTTGATAGTCTTGCTTATTCCATGGGCGGAGGATGGGTATTTGATCCACAACAGAGGTGAACTACCTGTAGCATCGGATGGATCCACAAATGCCGACTTAACACGATTTGGCCCAGCTGAAATGTCACAACTGTACCACTACTGGTCAGAAGCATCTCATCCAGAAAAAGTATCAGATCTGTCCGGTTCTTCGTCCTCAGATTATACACGATACCATTCTGAAATATCGCGGCGTTATTTTGTCATTAAAATGGCCCGGCTTCATTCTAACCCAGATGTGCTAACTTTTGTGATAAACGAATATCTAAGAACGGAAAACGCAGACTTCCGCAATGTCACCTCACGTGGAGGGAGCTGCTTTAGAATTCAAGCGGTAGGAGGAGAATGCTTAACCTGCACGGTAAGGGACTTTCTCAACGGCACTTATGTTGCTCAATGTCCTAAAATATACACCTGTGTAGACATCACTGTTCATCTGGACTATAT